TTTTTGCTGTTGTTTTTACATTCCTTTATTTGGGAAGGGGTGGACATATGCATTGATAGAGGTCATAGGACAACTTGCAGAGGGCCAATGTTCTCCTTCCACCATGTGGATTCTGGTATCAAAGAGGTCATCATGCCGGGCAGCAAGTGCCTTTACCCACTGAGTCATTACGCCAGCCCCACCCTGTTTTTTGAGACCAGTCTCTCACTGGTCTGGAATTTGCCAGCTAGGCTAGACTTACCCCAGAGATACACCTGTCTCTGCCTTCTTGGCATTGGGATTACAAGTATGTCCCCCTGTAATGAGTCTTTATCTGCTCCACCAGCTCCCAAATAATGACTCGAAGACATCGCATTAATTATGAAAGATCAGCCTTTAGCTTAAACTTATTCTTAACCAACTCTTATAAAAAATTAATCTGTGTTCTACCACATGACTCAAGGCTGTTACATCTCCTCCTGCACATCCTGCTTGTTCTGGATCTCCTGGCATCTCTGCCTTTCTTTTCCCTAGAGTTCTCTTTCTGTCCATTAGTCCCACCTATACCTCCTGCCTAGCAATTGGTCATTTAGCTTTTTATTAAACCAATCATACTGACACATCTTCACACAGTGTAAAGTAATATTCCACAACATCCACTGTGCCTTTTAGAACAATGTGGGTTTGGGTCTGATAAGATGGCTTGTGGGTTAAGAACACTGGCTGCTCTTCCAGAGGACCTGGGTTCAATTCCCAGCAAACACATGGCAGCTCAATATTGTGTGTGTAACTCCAATCCAAGGGATCTGGCACCCTTAAACAGACATGCATGTAGGCAAAAAAAAAAAAAAAAAAACTGTTGTGATCCACAAAAAACAAAGAACACAAAATAAAAAAATAAATAAAACTTAAAAAAAAAAGTGGGTTCTAGGATTTAAACCCAAGCCCTTGCTTGCTTGCATAGTAAGCACTTCAATGGCTGAGCTATTGCTCTACCACGTAGGGTTCCCTTTTATTCATATCTCAGTCATCCCAAGCAGGGAAGAGGCATCTCTTCTGACTTGATGCCTAAATTCTTAATCTCCTGAAGTCTTTTCAAAACAAATTTCTGGGGCTAGAGAGAAGGCTCAGAGGGTAAGAGCACTTAACGCTCCTGCAAAAGATTCAGGTTCAATCTTAGTACAGAACATTGTAGCTCACAAGCGCCTATAACTCCAGTCTCAGAAGATCAGACAATGTTCTCTAGTCTCTGTGTGTACTAGGTGTACACATTAAAAGAAAAAAATCAATAAATCTTTTTTAGAAAAAAAAAAAAGAAAGAAAGAAAGAGCTGGGAGGTGGTGGCACACACCTTCAATCCAAGCACTTGGGAGGCAGAGGCCGGTTCATCTCTGTAAGTTTAAGGCCAACTTGGTCTACAGAGTAAGTAACAGGACAACTAAGGCTACACACAGAGAAACCCTGTCTTGAAAAGCCAAAAGGAAGAAGGAGGAGGAGAAGAAGGAAGAAAGGAAGGAGGGAAGAAAAAAGGAAGTAAGTAAGTGGGGGGCGGTTAAGAACACTGGGCTGGTCTTCTAGAGGACCTGGGTCAATCCCCAACACCATACGGCAGGTTATAACAGTCCTGTAACTCCAGTTCCAAAGGACCCGACATCCTCACACCCCTCACACAGACATACATGCAGGCAAAACACCTTTGCACATAAAATAAATAAATAAATTTCTTTGAGAGCCTGGTATAATTGTCATAGCTATCCTTTGACTATTGGCATACTGCATGTGAAAAACCTTGCCCTCTCTCCCTCTTCATCTCTCCTCACTTTATGCAGGATCCACGTAAAGAGAGGACTGTAGATTTAGCCTAAAGCTCACCAATAGGGAAAACAAGTAGCAGTTTTCAATGATCTGTGAGGGCCCCACCTATCATAGCCCCTCCCCATCTGCTACCAACCAACAGCTGGAACATGCTTAGGAAAACCTCCCGCCTCAGGTCTTTGCCCTGGGTCCAGAGTCTGCATCCTACCTACTACATATGGCACAGAGAGTACCCGGAGGTCACATGCATGAGACCTAGAGACAAGGTACCGAGGATAACCCCAAATTCCTGCAGCTCCTGAGATCACAAGGAGAGTAGGGTCAGCGTGGAGGCTTGGGGAGAGATTCTGTGGCCTGTATGCGGCGTGCTGCCTAAGAGAAACAGGTGGGTAATCTGTGGAAGGCCGGAGACCAAAAACAACATTTCTGCTTTTAGTGCAGACAGTGCTGGTATTGGGTGGAGGGTAGGTAGCCTTGGGAAGGGATCCCACAGAAGAAGAGGAAGAGAGTCTAGTGTGTTTCCGAGCTGACTGTTAACTTCCTCCCACATCCAGGAGACCATGACAGCCATGCTAACACTTGAAACCATGGCCAGTGGAGAGGAATATGAGCCGAGGAACTGTGTGGTGTGTGGAGATCGAGCCACAGGCTATCATTTCCATGCCCTGACTTGTGAGGGCTGCAAAGGCTTCTTCAGGTGAATGCTTTCTCCCCATCAGAAACAACCCCCACACTCCTATTAGGCCGCCTTGAAACGCTGGCCCATCTCCAAGCTTATGGGGCTGTCATACTCTCACAGCCAAGCTGTACTGTCCTGTGTCTAGCACCCTCAATCTTGCTGCCCCCAACACTGTATGGAACCGGTGACAATAGAACAGCAGGCCAACCATTTGTCCTAGAGGCTCAGCCTCTTAGTCAAGAGTAGTACACATGATCTGCCCAGGACCAAGTTAGTACTACACAATGAGGGTTCCTGAGTGGCCTCGCTTCCCCGTGAAAATGCTCCAGCAGCTTCTGAGGACCTTTGGACACAACTCAGATTAGCCTGTTGTTAAACCAGCAGCTGCCTGCTTCGCTGCCATCTCAGATCCTGCAGTGTCTTTCTCTGTCTCGCAGACGAACAGTCAGCAAAAACACTGGTCCCATCTGTCCATTTTCTGGAAGCTGTGAGGTCAGCAAAGACCAGAGACGCCACTGTCCAGCCTGCAGGTTGCAGAAGTGTCTAAACGCTGGCATGAGGAAAGACAGTGAGTTGGCCCCCTACCATCCCAGGACGCCATTGAGTGTGCTTCTCTGCTGTTTGGTATACCCAATAGCTCATGTTCCACATAGCAGGCAGAGTAAGCTTTTTGAAACTTAATTAGATTATGCCACAGTTCCCAAAGCTTCCAGTCTCTCTCTTTAAAAGTATTTTTTTTAATTTTTAATGTGTATAAGTGTTTACCTGCATATATGTCTGTGCACCTTGTGTATGCCTGGTGTTCACAGAGGCTCGAAGAGCATGTTGGATCCCCTGGAACTGGAGTTACAGATGACTATAAATTGCCATGTGAGTGCTGGGAATTGAACCCAGGTCCTCTGCAAGATCAGCCAGCGCTTTTAACCCTGAGCCATTTCTCCAGTCTCTCCCTGCTCCAATCTCCTTTAAGGTACATGATTTCATACAAATCCTACTTCAGACTTTGTCTCTTAAGCCCTTCAATACATACTAGCCACACTGGCTCGGTGCTGTCCTCGAGCGCCCCAAGCTTACTCTTCCCCAGGACTTCCCCATTTCCTCTCCCCAAAATGTCCTTCCCCTTCAAAGTCACCTGGCTTGCCTCTTCTCTTCTATCTCTGGAGTACATGGTACCCGTCTTCTTGTAGGAACTTCTTAGTTATTCATTGCTGTGTTCCCTGTGCCAGGTAACTGTGCTGTGCTCCCACCAGATTAATGCAGCTGGCCTCCCACAGCTTCAGCCTGTCAGCTAAACAGCACAGTCACACTTAGGCATCAAGCCCGTCCACCTCTCAAACTCCAGCACTTCCATCTCACACTCCTTTCACCATGGAGCGGGTGGAAAGGACACTGTAGAAGCCAAATGGCACTGCCTTGAGTTCCGCCTGTCTCACTTATTTTATGACTGTGGAAGTGTTGCTGGAGTCTACGCTTCTGAGAAATACGAAGCCTGCCCTGTCTAATTAGAGTCGCTACTGCCAGTGAAATCTAGCCATAGAACCTTTGAAAGTACAAAGCTATGCAAATCTAAAGTGACATTTTCAAAATAAAGACCCTTCTTCAACGTTCCCAAGGAGCCAAACATCTCCCCTTCCCACTGTACTCTCCACCCCTCCCTTTTTTCCCATGGTGCACTGTTTCCTGCTGCAGTGTGTCACCGGTAAATACGAGGTCAGTAGATGTGTGCAGGAACCCTCTGCCGCCTAGGCACACTGGTTCAGTGAAGTCCACGGAAGCCTCAGAAACCTTCCTTTCTTCCTCAGTCCTTACACGGGGAGACTGAGTAGCCTCGCCTCAAGGGGCGGAAGAAAGGTGCTCTCTGCTGCTCTCAACTTATGTCGTCTTTCTTGCCTGCCACAGTGATCCTGTCAGCAGAAGCCCTGGCATTACGGCGAGCCAGGCAGGCACAGCGGCGGGCACAGAAAGCATCCCTGCAGCTGAGTCAGGAGCAGAAAGAGCTGGTCCAGACCCTCCTAGGGGCCCACACTCGCCATGTGGTCCCCATGTTTGGCCAGTTAGTGAAGTTCAGGGTGAGAACTTACAGGATTTGTCCTGGGTGCCTGAGGGAGAGTGCTATTACCATGCCCTGACAGAGGACAGATCTCCAGAACCCCAGAGTGGGCAGGTTCCTCAGCCAGAAACCCTTCTAAGGCTGATGAGACCCAAAGGATGGCCAAGGCCGAGGCTTCTCACTCATCCTCTGAACTCTTCTAGCCTCCACCCCACCTGTTCGTCCATCACCGGCCCTTCCCCACTCTGGTCCCCGTGATGCCACTGCGCACACACTTTGCAGATGTCAATACTTTCATGGTGCAGCAGATTATCAAATTTACCAAGGAACTGCCTCTTTTTCGGTGAGTACCATGTGGTCTTTCAGGAAGTAAATGCTTCATAAACCATACCAGGCTCTGATAAAAGTCACATATCCGCTGGCCATTCTGAGCACTAGGCCTTTAATTTTCAGCACTAGGTATGTCAGTTGGGCCTTTTGATGGGCAGGCCTAAGTCTAAAGTGCCCTTATTTTCTGCCCCACACAGGGCCCTACCCATGGAGGACCAGATCTCCTTGCTCAAGGGAGCGGCTGTGGAAATACTGCACATCTCACTCAACCTTACTTTCTGTCTTCAAACGCAGAATTTCCTCTGTGGGCCTCTATGCTACAGAGTAGAAGATGCGGTCCATGGTAAGATGGTAGAAACAGCACAGGCTGTGTGTCCGTGGGGTATAAAGTATGAAGCGTGACCAGGAGGCTCCTAAGCCTACCGCCTCTCACAGTAGGGTTCCAGTGGGAATTTTTGGATTTGATCATGCGCTTCCATGGGACATTGAAACGACTAAAACTCCAGGAGCCCGAGTATGTGCTCATGGCTGCCATGGCCCTCTTCTCTCCTGGTGAGCATCATCCAAAAGCCAAGGAACTAACTCAGCCCCTTTAATCTATCCCTGACCATCATGCTTCCCAGCCCACAGTGTGGATCTATAGCGTTCTCAGTCCCTGTACCACGTGAGGCTCCCCACCTGGGTCCCTGCCATCTTGACCTTCCCGCCTCCTATCTCAGACAGGCCTGGAGTCACCCAGAGAGAAGAGATTGACCAGCTGCAAGAAGAGATGGCACTGATTTTGAACAACTACATCAAGGAGCAGCAGAGGCCCCAAAGTCGGTAGGTAGGAGGCTGGGGACTCACAGGCTGCACCGGGGGAAGGAAGGGATTGGAGAAACATTGGGATCAGAATGAATGCATTTACCGTTGTTTCCTTCGGGAACCTAGATCTTCCCTTGGGCCACCCCTATCACACCTAGTTCCAGTACCCAAACTGTGCACACTGCTGTTCCTTCTCACTTTTCCAAGTTTTTTTTTTTTTATTCAGTAGAGATGCAAAGTAGTAGCTCATAGCCTGTGTGTGATAGCATTCCTGAGACTGGTGATAGCCATCACCTCCTCTCCAACTTCATTCTTCTTTTTGGCCCTCTCCTTTCCCTTGGGTCAATTCCTTGAATTTTTCAGTTCCATTTGAAGTCCTGGTCATTCACAGTTTCATGGGCAAAGCCTGTCCCTGGCTCGATAGTCCAGGCTCTGAAGTTAATGCCACTTTTGTTTTGCTCATTCCTTGATAAATCAGTTTGCTAAGAGGGGGATGTTTTATACCATAGAACAACACACCCGCCTTCTAGAACTCCATCTAGAAGGCTCCACCTTCAGGTTCTATACAGTTGAAGTTTTGGCCAAGTCTAGTTCTTTACATTTGACCTCTAAGCCCTGGGTTCAGGAAAAACTAGGCACAAAGAAGGAAGACAGTGCTGACAGAGGCCCTCTTGGGGACTTCTGAACATTTTCAAAATGTAGTATGTGCCATCCACAGCAGGATTTTCTAATGTTCAGACTTAACCTCCTGGAGGGGACAGTTCGGGGGACTGAGGCCCCAGGACGAGACTCCTAGCTGCCTTATTTCCCTCTTCTTTCCCTGGTAACCCTACTACTCCTTCCAAAGGTTTCTGTATGCAAAGCTGATGGGCCTGCTGGCTGAGCTCCGGAGCATAAACAATGCATACTCGTATGAAATACAGCGCATCCAGGGACTGTCTGCTATGATGCCGCTGCTTGGGGAAATCTTCAGCTGAGGCCCAGGCTGGCCTCCTTCCCCAGACCCCCTGGGATACACTGGACTGGCAAGGGGAAATTGCTGGTGCCCAAGATAGGGACCAGCTAAAAGGAGCTCAGTGGCAGCAATGAAACACTGAACAGTATCTGTCTCTCCGTGCGGTTATCCATGGGGCATGGACAGGGCAGGGGGCAGAGAGTGGGGAGTTGGGGTGACCATAGGACCAAAGCAGTTCTCTGGAAACACAGAAGATGGGAAAGGAGGAAGTCTCAGGGCTAGGAGATGACGGTCCTTCAAGGAATGGGTGGGCCCATTCTTTGATCTTTCTATGGCCAAAGATTTAGCTCTTTAACCCTATTTTCCCAACCTTGGGAGGCTGAGGGATGGAAAATGGGAGAAATGGTATAGGAAGTGAATCCCATGCAGATCTTTCTGCTTTGAAGAAGCTAATACCTTAATCAAATAAAAATAATAAAGAAGAAAGTAGGGTGAGGGAAGCCAGATACATCCCTTAATCCTTCTCCTTCAGTCCAGAGCCATAGAGATACGGAAAATTATAGTGGGGCTGCTGGCAGAATTGGGAACCTCAAACCACTGCCTCATGGGGAATTGATCGTGTGGCAGCTTCAGTTCCGAGGAGGACACGGTCCTGCCCGCCACTCTGCCCTAGAAGTCATCAGCAAGGTAGGCTCTGGAGAGGGACCTAGTTAGTCTCTGGCCCTAGGGCATCTGACTCAAAGGTTCCAGCTGCTGTGTGGAGGTCGCCTCCAGGACCACTTCAGCCCACGGTGATGCTGAAGCCACAATGGAATCTGTTGCGCCAGTGATTGAGGAAGGCTCCGAGGGCGAGAGTGACGGGCAGGGGGGGCATCTTCTTCTCCAACACAGCACCAACACACCAGTTACTGTCCACCAGGCCTGCCAGGCAAGAGGACACTGGTCAGGCTGTATAGCAGGACTTGGAATAAGGAGTTAACAGAAGCAAGGTAGAGCTTCCTCCCTTCCTGTGTAACCCCAAATCCCTCACCAGTTCCAAACATCACAATAACCCTCACCTCTAAACACCATATTGGCCTGGGGCAGAGTCAGGTGGTAACCAAAGGAGAAGGTTGTATCTTGTAGCCTTGTATTTGCCTCAAACTCCACTCCAACCTGAACCTGAGAAACAGGGACAAAAATGAGAGGAGGAACCGACACCTTGAATACCAGAAGAGTCCCAACAGGGTAGTAGCAAGCTGGGCGCATGAGTGGAGATGTATACCAGAGTGAGGGTAGGAAGAAGAATAGGCCGGGAGCTTGGGGGACCTGAGGGGCAGAGTTTCTCGCTGACCGACTAGGATAGCGGACCAGGTCAATAATCTTACCTGTTCATTTGCCCTGTGGTAATAACTTGCATGGGCCCCACCTGACCCAACATTCAACGTAGCTACCCAGTGTAGAGCTGGGGGGGAAAGTACAGAGGGAAAAGACAGTTACTGTAGTAGACACGGGCAAGGAACCCCAGAAAAGCCCAGAGTCGCTCCCCCTCACCACTGTCTCACTTGGCTCCATACCTGAGTACTTCCCAGCCAGAGTCAAGATGGCCCCCTCTTCGCCTGGTCGCCGGTGATAAACTAGCTCTCCTCCTAGCACCAGCCGTTGGGTGATGCTCTGCAGGAAGTGAGCGACCATGATCACTGTGGGCGAGTAAGGAGACAAGAGTCAGGTGTGTGCCCCTACCATCCAGTCATCCCCACTCTGGCCTGCCCAGAAAGTTCCTTTTCTAATCCCCAAACTACATTGAAGATGAAACGGCATGACTGACATTGTTTGCAAACGGACAAGCTAGAAAGAACTCCGTCCTAGCTCCCCACCTGACTCCCCAATCAGGTCAGGATTTCCCAGGGTCAGAGTGGCTGTGTAGTCCTCTCCCCGATACTCGCCATCAAACTGCCACGTCAGGAACTTGGCCTGCTGTGTCTGGGGAGGAGAGTAAGAAATAAAATACCCTTCCCCCTTTTTATGTTCAATATTGCCTCTGCTCCTCCCCCTAGACCCCCGAGGCAGGATACCCATGGAAGAGAGAGAGAGGTGCCTCAGCGGATGGAGGCAGGAACTGTGGGTCACCTGGAAGACAGCCTTAGCTCGTAGCCGCTCTGCCAACAGAAGCAAGACCTGGGCGTTGAGACTGCCACTGCTGTCCATATCCCCCACCACGGTGGGGAACACCTGTTAAGGAGTGTAGACAGGAAGGCTGAGATGGGTAGGTAGTTTTTATTGACCTAAACAGGAACACTAAGGGATTTCCGTAACGACCCACAGTGCCCCCTGGTGGGCGTCAAAGACAAACGCGGGCATCTTTGCACAGGCGTATCTCTCTACCCTGTCCCATTCAGAAGAGCCGCAGAGAACAAAGTTGCTGGATGATTTTCCTGACAGCACATACATTTCCTCCTCAAGACCTACGCCCGCGTGAGGGTCTAGGAAGTTGATGCAAATGTGGTGGAGCCCTCACCTCAGTGGGGCTAAGCTGCCAGTCCCCTGCGTAGGCGGCATGGAGATGATACCCTGGCAAGCCCAGGGCACTCATGTGCACAGTATGAGCCACCTGAGGAAAGAGGAGACGACGGAGAACACGACATTCTTCTTTAATTCCCTATCCCACCCTTGATCTTTTTCCATTCAGCGGGTGTTTCTAAAAACCTCAACTGTTCCGACATATGAAGAGGGTCACTGGATTTTAAGCAACAAGTCCCACAGGCAAAGAAAGGAAAAGGGACCCCCACATCGTCCCTCACTTGTCACACCTAGCCTTGCTAAGACTCTGGAGTAAGAGGTGTGAAGAAGAGGATCCGGGGATGGGCAGGGAGGTGAAGTGAGGAGGGGCCGGAGAAGTGGGAGCACCTGGAAATGGCTGCTCAGAACCTTGTTGACAACCAGCTTCACGCCCTCCATCTGTGCTGGAAATACATCTGAAAGAGTGAGGGGAAGGGAAAAAATAAGTACAGATGAGGACCCCCTAGCCAAGGAGATAGACCTCCCTTTCAGTCCCACATGAAGCACCGAAGGAAATGACCTCCTTTCAAATCCTGCAACAAAAATGCTCTGCTTTGGACATCTGACCCTTCTTGACTGCTGGATGCTCCAGCTGTGATCTCTCTGTTCACATCACGGGGCATCAGCATTCAAGAGCCTCCCCTCCTCTACCCCTTCCACCTAAGACACCCAAACCCCACATCCTCACCTTTGCACAACCGGTGCAGCTCATCGAAGCTCCCGGGGTTGGGCAGTGGTTCCTCTCGACGGGGGGTCCGGCGGGGTAAAGTCCCCAGCGGTGCCAGGCCCAGGGTGTTACCCATTTTAGTCCAGAGGACAGGGAGGGGTCGGGGTTAGCCTGGGGAAACAATCTATTGCTCCCTCTACCCCCCACGGGCTCCACCCCCCATCATCAGGCTCCCCAGTTTCAGAAACTTCCATAGGGTTCAATGCTAGACCTGCAACAAGGAACAGTAGGAGAAGAGAGCACCGATGGAAAAATTGAATCTCAGGCACACTCCCGCCCCAACGTTAATCCTTCACCCCCACCTGTCACCCCTGTCCGCTCTCCCATTATCTATTCTTAACCACCACCACAGGCTTCAGCTAGCTCCCTAGTTTCTCTATTCTTCATTCCCACGTCCCAAGGCTCTGCCCGCAATGGAACACTAACCCTTACCATCTCAAAGCATCCCGCTGCCTCTTTCCCCTAGGCACACCCCGGTCATCTTGATGGGGGCAGCCATCTTAAGTAATGGCAGAACTATAGCTTCAACCTGCATTCTAAGCATGGCCATAAGCGCCATCTTGGAAATGGGCAAAGGAAGCGCTCAAAGACCCAACCCACCCAATGATGAAAAAAGGTGCTTAAATTTCCAGTGACCAATGGGAGAGGAGGAAGCAGAAGAGTGGCAGCCCTGACGGCCCCAGAGCTTCAGTCCTCCGCTGCAGGGGCGAGTGGGAGTTTGTGGGTGGTACTTTAGACTTGAGTTGAAGGCCACGTAAGAAAGCCCAGCCTCTTCAAGGTCGAGAAAAATTTGTGTGCGTTTGAGACGCCAGAGGGAGCATTTTGTCCAGCATCGCTGGAGCTCCTTAAACCAGACCTGAGAAAAGTGAAACTACAGTTTGAGTTTGGAGACGTGTTTTATGAAGAGACGCTCGGGGAAGGATTGTGAAGACACCAGTTCGCATTACTCTCTACCTACCTAAAATCCTCTGGGGGATCCCCACAGCCGTCCCACACCTCCACAGGGCTGCTGCTCACAAACACAGCTCTCCCTTAGAAAATAGAACCCTATCACCACTACCTCCCCCGCTCTGGAATTCTACAAGCCAGGCCTTCTTGTTAGAATAGGAAAGGCTGTGAGTTTGAGGGAGGGGAGCGGGTTGTGGGCAGAACTAATTTCTGAAGCTGCCCTCTCTAGTTACTCCTTCTTTGCAGACAGGACTAAAGCAATCCAGGAATCCGACTCCTGCCTGTCCTTACACTCTGCCCCCAGGGCCAGGGGCAAGCGGCAGTGTGACAATAGAGCTACTTCACAAGAGGACAGCTGGAAATGGGAAAGATTTCTTGGTCATTGTCTGCACCCTGCCTCTCAGTAGTGTTCAGTGCACACAGGGTAAATTTGGGGGCCAAAGGGTGAAAGATAGCAATGTTTTCAATATCTACTTAGCTTCCACTGGAGAGCTCTGGGCCTAGGGAATGCGCCTCATAGTCGTCCCCCCATGACAATAATTAGAGCTCGGTCAAAGGGCCAGGACCTAACTGATAAGGTGATTAAATAACCAGGCATCTTCGACCTTTATCTGGACTGAAACCTCTTAACTGTTGCAGCTGGGAGCAGGAAGGAGGGCAGAGGCTATTTTTCTGAATTTGTTTTTTTGGGGGTAGGGATGGGAACCCAGGAGTGTTAGTCCACATTCTCATTACACATTAACTCAAAAAGGGACAGAGTCAGCGGTATCTGTTCTTGAATTCCCCTAAGCCCCATTCCCTGCCACTTCCGATTTCAATTCCTTTTTCCTGTTCTTCTCTCTCTCTCTCTCTCTCTCTCTCTCTCCTTTCTTTTTTTAAGACAGGGTCTCTCTATGCAGCCCTGAAACTCACTATATAGATCAGGCTGACCTCCTGAAACTCACTATATAGATCAGGCTGACCTCAAATTCACAGAGATCAGTCTGCCTCTGCCTCCCCAATGCTGGGAAGAAAGGCACATGCCATCATGCCTAGCTTCTTTCTCCTTTCTTTTGTTCCCAAACACCTCTTTGCCAGGTTGCTATGAAAGTATGAAACGTATAGGGTTGGGGGAATGAAGTCTATCCACAGTGAGGTAAAGATAACAAGGGCTATGGGCTTTGTGTCAGAACTTCCCAGAGAAATAGCTTTGAATCCTGATTCCCTGCTATGTATCAATCCCGTTAACTTCAGCCCTCTATCCCAAAAGAATAAAACATAGGCAGATAGATCTTGGTCTTCCCCTGAGTTTATACCCCCTGCCTCTCATTCGAACACCAAGAGTCCCTTTTGCTTGTTATTCCGTCCATCTCTGCAGCATGTTTACTCCAGCATGATCTCTGCCCCTCTGGACTTGCCATACTCGGCATCACCTGACAGGGGTGGGGAAGGAGAAGAGTATATAGCCCTGTCTCCATCCAGGCCGGGGTAGATGCCAAGGACAGCGACACTACAGGTATGATGGGGGAGCAAGGATGTGGGCAGCATGCAGAGAGGATGGGGCTTTGATTGTGGAAGGAATGGGAATTAAGTTAGTGTGGGCATTCAGGTGGGGGATCTCTGGAAGGGGCTACAGCCCATTTGACTTCAGTGTCCTTCCCACCAGCAGCACTGTTCCAAGGCTACGTTCCCACTGCCGCCATCATGAAGCTGCTTGCTATGGTTGTTCTGCTCGTCACTGTCTGTAGCCTGGAAGGTGAGTTTGTAATACGGAGAAAGGAAACCAGAGGAAAGAAGGTGCTGGGGCTCGTGGCTACCCAACTCTCTGTGCTTCTACAGATGAGTATGCCAGCAGAACCCAAGAGGAAAATCGTTCCCTTTCGAAAATCTAAAAAACAAAACAAAAACCCAGAAAACAAAAAACAAAACCTCAAATACCTAGCAGGACACCAGTTCGGGGAAGCGGCTGAAAGCTGGGATGGATCTTGTGAGGTGTGAGGGGAGACTGGGATTCACTGCTGGGAATCCAAATGAAAAGATGGTGCATATGTGTTTGTGTAGGGGCTTTGGTTCGGAGACAGGCAGAGGAGCCGGGTCTGCAGAGCCTGTTCAGTCAGTATTTTCAGACCATGACTGACTATGGCAAGGACTTGATGGAGAAGGCCAAGAGCACGGAGATCCAGACCCAAGCCAAGTAAGTCTCTAGGAGAGGACTCAAGGGGCTCCAGGACTGCAGAGAATAGGAAGACAGGCGTTCTCGTGGGAATCTTAACTCAGCGGCTGGGGTACCTGGAGATTAGGCTTAAAAATCGAGAAGAAAGCCAGGTGGTGGTGGCACACACCTTTAATCCCAGCACTTGGGAGGCAGAGGCAGGTGGATCTCTGTGAGTTCGAGACCAGCCTGGTCTACAAGAGCTAGATCCAGGACAGGCTCCAAAACCACAGAGACACCCTGTCTTGAAAAACAAAAAAACAAAAACAAAAAAAAAATCGAGAAGAAAAATTCCTCCCTCACCCCAGTAGATCCATCCAGTGTATTCCTCAGGTGGGGGCAGCAGGAAGTGGACCTTGGACTCTAGTCGCTAGTGTCTGATGCCCTGCTTGCTGCATGGAAGGTCTACTCCTCCTCTTCCAGACTTTCCAGGGTACTTCAGGGTGCCCCATTTAGAAACCTGGGTTGTCACACACTGAGACAATGGGGGTGTTCTATCGGGAACTCACCAAGGCCAGCTGGCCTGGGTCTGAAAAAGCCTGGGATAAAACCGGACTCGCTGAACATAGCGGACAATGAGGACTACTGAGAACTCAAGAACAATGGCAATGGGTTTTTGATCCTACTGCACGTACTGGCTTTGTGGGAGCCTAGGCAGTTTGGATGCTCAACTTACTAGACCTGGATGGAGGTGGGTGGTCCTTGGACTTCCCACAGGGCAGGGACCCTGATTGCTCTTTGGGCTGAAGGAGGGGGACTTGATTGGGGGAGGGGGAGGGAAAGGGGAGGCGGTGGCGGGGAAGAGACAGAAATCTTTAATAAATAAATAAATTAATTAATTAAGAAAAAAAAGAAACCTGGATTGGGTCAGTCTGCTCTGACCTTCACCACCAACACAGACCCGGTCAGCGACTGGGGCCCTTCACATCAGCATCTGGTCCTTCCCCTCCCCAGGGCTTACTTTGAAAAGACACATGAGCAGCTGACACCCCTGGTCAAGAAAGCCGGAGCAGATCTGATGAGCTTCCTCAGCAACTTTATGAACTTTGAGAAACCAGCTCCTGCTGCTAAGTGAGGTGTGGGGCACCCGTCTTCCTACCCCAGCTCCCCACTGGCCTGCCCTAGAGCCCCCTCCTGCCCACTGGCCTACCCTAAAGCCCCCACTCTACCTTCTGCCCGTGTTGTACAATAAATGCGGAAGGAATCAAACTGTGCCTCATGTCTTTGGGTGACTGGGAAGACCGTGGCAGAGTGGGGGAGGAGTAGGAGGAAGGAAAGAGATTAATCTGTTTCTAAAAGGGGAAAGGGACGAGAGTTTTGGTGTGAGCTGTGAAGAAAGGGCTGAAGAAATAAGTGTTGGACACGATAGAGTAGATGCCTGTGATTTGTCTCCACACAAAGGAGTCTCCCCCGTGAGTGGCTCAGTAGCATCACTGAAGGACATGGACCTAAACAAGGAATGAAGGACTCACAGCTCGGGGTCACGGAAAACAAGGGCAACCCCCAGAAGTTCTTCTTAACTTTCTCTGAATAGATCATGAGGTGGTTGTTGCTTTGTTTTCTAAAAAAAAAGCCCAGTGGTGTGACCCAAGACTCCATCTTTCCCTTTGAACCTGGAGAACACTGTTTCCGCCATCCCACAGTAAAAGATTAGGCTAACCCTTTTCTCCCAAAGCACTCTAGTTTCTTCCCTCAAAACCACTCATTTAGCCAGGTATGGTAGCACACAGCTGCCTTTAATCCTGGCACTCGGGAATTCCAGGACAGCCAGAGCTACGAAATAAAGAGGCCCTGCCTCAAGACAAAGCAAGCCAGTAAACAAACTGCAAAAGGAAAAAGAAAACAAAACAAAAAGGCTAAGGATATAGTTTATTTTTTTGTTGTTGTTGTTTTTGTTTTTGTTTTTCGAGACAGGGTTTCTCTGTGGTTTTGGAGCCTGTCCTGGAACTAGCTTTTGTAGACCAGTAAGGATATAGTTTAATGGTAGAGTCCTTACCTAGCATGTGTGAAGCCCTAGGTTCAATCCCTAGCATTTGAATCAATGTAAAACAACAACAAAAAAAAGCAAAAACAAATAAAACCTTTTTGTTTTATGTAGAACAGTGTATATATACAAGAAAGTCAGTCCCTACCTTCAAAGTGACCTTAGACGAGTTAATATTTTAAAGAACCTGAATTTTTTTATATTTTTTTATTTTTCAAGACAGGGTTTCTCCGTAGCTTTTTGGTTCCTGTCCTGGAACTAGCTCTTGTAGACCAGGCTGGCCTCGAACTCACAGAGATCCACCTGCCTCTGCCTCCCAAGTGCTGGGATTAAAGGCGTGCGCCACCGCCGCCGGGCAAGAACCTGAATTTCTTATACAGGTTAGTGAACAGATAAAATGATACAATGGGAAAATACTTTGAAAATATAAATCA